TGCTGTGGCCCATAGACATCTATCCTCGATTATGAATCAAAATGCGCATACATTGTCACCCTGGAAGAATGAGATGGAATGCCTCATATCCAGTAAAAAGGGTCTCCGGTTCTCTACACTCACCATATGAAGCACAGCAGCATTAAGCTACTATTTTACGCTGGTATTCTGTGAGAGCTACCACCTACCATCAGGTGGACTGTGTGCTCGTTTGTCACCATATCCCATAAAAAAAATTATGGCTAAAATTTCTAGCCAGAGCCCTTAATTTCAATCACAAAATTATAGTGCTTCTAAATATTTTTCTTTAGCAGATCTGATACATTAATATTAAAAATAAATTAAAAATACCATCAAAAATAAATTAACTGGACCAGATAATTTTAAAGATTTACCCAATATCACCAAACTCCAATAGCTAAAATATGATTATGTAACTCCAGTGAGAATTTTAATTGACTTCCTTCTGACTTTACTTTTCATTGTTTTAAGTAAATAAATCCATATTGATTAGTAAACCATGTCTTTTTATAATCATTCTTTGTTTTAGTTTTATGTAAGAAAATATTAATATAATTAAAAACATCATCCAGTTGGTAGAGCCATGCTGCAGTTATAATATGGTTGTAGAACGAATGGGTCAGCTCGACCGGAGAAGAACCAAGCTCTCACAGAATACCAGCAACAAATAGCAACTCAATGCTGCTGTATTTTGTTTGGTGAGAGTAGAGAACTGAAGCCCCTTTTTACTGGAATCGAGGCATTCTAACTAAGTCCTCAAGGGTGGCAATGTATCTGCATTTTGATTCTTAATCAAGGGTAAATGTATACGTCTATGGGCCACAGCATCCACTTACCATCAGGTGGATTGTGTGCTGATTTGTCACCCTTATTCCATAAAAATAAAGTAATAAATAAAACAGTTGCAGAGTGATTCCCACTGGAAAAAGATTTCTTCCAGACCTACACAATCATATTAATGGTCGGTAAGCTGTAAGCGTAGGGCTGATCTCCATACTAATAATGCGGTTCCCCGGCACCAGTCTTTAGGGTTTTGAATTTAATACCTCTGACAGTCAGTCATCAGAACCCCATTCTTTGACGAGTGTGAGTACTATGTTTATGTTCGCATTTGATGAAAATGTTATATACTCATTACATCCCTACAATAAAAGAAATGTAATGTAACTGTAACTCAAAATTATTTATTCGTTTTTTCGCTTAATTCTTCAGATTCATTAGAAAATAATATTTGCAAAATAAATCAGAATAAAATTGTTTTCATTGAATATAGATTATAGATATTACGTATTATTTCACCACTTATATTTTCTTTAAAATCTCATAAGGATACGCAAAGGAAAACATCTATGAGCCGGAGGCCGGTTCTAAAATTAGACCGATGTAGACTCCATGCCGCGTTTTATGTTTACTTGTTTAATATTCTAACAAGCAAATATTTACTAACCTCTATCAATCGGCTAATATTTATCGTAGACCCGCAGCTTTAATGAATGAAATTGCACTTAGGATATATTGTCAGTTTATAAAACGCACTCTCAAATATTATAAATATCACACATTGTCAAAATTCTTCAAAATAGCAAATCACTCTTCAATAAATTATGGCGTTTTTCTGTAAAAGTTTAAAGATTATTTAATTCAATAGCTAAAATTTGAAGGCAGTAAATAAAATTTCCCTATTTTATTCTTCGCAGTACATCAACAGCGAACAGTGTAAACTTCTACTGACAAGACAAGGTGACAACCTGTCACTGACAAGTGAAGTTGTTGTTGTTTTTATTATTCGCTCGAGTGTAGGCAAAGGAACTAAACCATAGAGTCTTGTCTTTTTTAATTTTAATATTTAGAATTTAGAAGTGTAAAGGCCGGAACCAAGTCTTATTTTTCTTCTTTCCATCACTAAAAAATCTATAAAGGCCGAAGCCAAGTCTTATTTTCTTTAATTGTTCATATTTTCAAAAACCACAAAGGCTAAAGCAAAACCAAGTCTTCTTTATATTATAATCTTTGTAAGTTTCAATCCATATAGATTTATCAGTCCAGTTTCAATGTTCCCGCGCTTTTTTTTCTTTTCTTCATAATATGCTGATGCGTCACATTGCGAAGCCCTTGGGAGATTTTGACGACAGCTCAACCCAGCTTACAGTTGATGACGACAGCCACTCAAGTTCATAAGGTTTATATCAACATCAAAGCACTTTTTTCGTCGTTTTCTCTAATAGTTCACACGTACAGACAATTAATTCACAAAATCACAGCACTTTTACGAATTAAAATCAACTTCAAAACATTATACAAGCGACAAAACCGGAGCGACAGTCCGTCGTCGGCCAGATTCCCGCCAAAACTCCCAGAAGTGGTGAGAATTGACACGAAAATTAAATGTAAAAAAGAATGTCTTTTCAACAATAACATGTTGAATGATAAAACGGGATAAAACTTGTTCGAAAAATCAATCGTAAAATCAAAATCAAATATTCATTAATATGGAATGTACAGTTAGCATATTAAATTAATCTTAATATTTACTTTGAACATTTTGCAGTATAAGCGGTCGTCTAAATATCATGTACACCACTGCCGCAAACTAATGAAATTCGTTGCGTTTTTGGTGTTCTCTTATTCCTCACAGACTATTCTATTAGAAATGCAGTAAAAATATAATTGATAAAACAAAAAAGTACAAAAGATAAAACCTATTGTACTTTTTTGCAAAAAAACTTCAGTTTTTAACAAAACTCAAGTTTTTATTTTTTAATAATTTTGAAAAAAGCTTAAGAGCTATTTGTGAAAAAAAAAGGTATGAAAACCTAAGTGTTTAACTATTTCAAAAATATGCGCAGTTGATACAGTTTACAAAATGGTATATAATACATAATTTAATTTAACGTTAATGTGCAAAAAGAATAAAGTCGACTGAAGAATTAGAAAGCAATCTTGTCTTAAATTGTGATAATAAGAGCGTTAAGTTGTACCTAAACGTGGGACGTAAACGTAGTGGGATCTAAACGACCATTTCATTTATTTTGATACGTGGCATTTAAGGCACTCTTATAATGACACATTAGATATTTAGCGCATCTCCAGCGCGCGCGTAATAAACAACGCAAACACCCTAAAAAAAATGAACTCACTTGATCCCGGCACGCGCTACTACAGACCACAGTACAAAATAGTTCGCAGTAGGACCACTTCTTATGATTTGAACTGTTTTTAGTTTGTAGTGAGTAGTTAAAAATTACGTCTTTAGTTAATATTTTGTATTATGTTGTATTAAATTTATACGTATTTAGTTTATTTTTACTGATTTCGATTATTTCAAAAAAAAACTTCGTATAAAATGTTAAATTAAATTTCTTTTTAATAATTTTATGTAAGTTTTACAAATGCGTAAGTATTCAAAGTTAAATAATTACAATAATGATCTAAAACTACATCTTAACCAATCGATCAACTAAGAAACAATTTCTAAAACTCTTCCATACTTAGTTGGTGGTGGTCCTGAATAAATTAGGTCTGTTATTTTCTTTGTCTGGTACATCAATTACAGACATGGAGTCACATTCCAGTTTTAGATCTCGGATCGCCATCCCACGCGCATATCTGCTGTCAACAATTTCTGTGAGTAAGCAATTTTTATAAAAAATGTACTAACTTTGGCTCCATAGTTTTCCAAAAGTCATCATCTATTTCAATATATTTTGTGAAAATTGTTTCACTGTCACCTGACCAAATTGCTAATAAACAAACTTTCCTACCCGTAACATGCAGCTGGCCCTGAATTTTGGTAGTACCAGTTACTTTTCTTGTTTACGGTCACTGTGCCTGTTTTTTGTCGTATTTGAGAATTTGAATTTTGTTTTCCTTAATTGAATTTTCAAGACCTTTTTTAGAAGCTGTAATGGGACACTTTATCTCGACTAGCATATCATCTCCTAGCAGTCCGTCCGGAGTTGCACCGATAAATGGATGAGCTTGAACGATAAATAATCCACAATGCATAATTTTCACATTTTCTTGCTTTTAAAGTTATTGTAGAGCTGGACTTTCATGTTCGATTCCGTGGCAAATGGAGGCAACGTTTCACAAATTCTTTGGATATAATACATTTTTAATAAGTGAAGCAGTGCCAGAATTAGCTTTTCTTTTACATATAGGGCCGAAATTTGAAGCTGTAACAAGATTTTTTCTTAACTCAAGCCATTCACTGTTGTCCCTTTGCAATACGGTGGCCTTTTCAATAGCATTCCTATCACATTCCTATCAAATTTTTCATAAATTCTTCTTTAGCTTTTTCTAACTGTTGAGGAGACATATCAGGTGCTGCACTTGCTGGGCCATAATCATGTTGCTTTATGTTAATTTCTTTTAATATTCTTCTTTTCTTTTTTGGATGTTCAAAATTTATCTTCTGTTTTTGAGACCTTTTTTTCTACAATCACAACATTTCCCCTGGGACATTTGCCAGTAAAAGCCGATTGAACTGTGGATATTGCCGATTTGGTGTTGAATCCTCTTCATATAGCTCCTTTCAGAGCAAAATTGATTCGTTTTCCTACAATAAATTTTGCAATTACACTGTTAAAGCATTCGACATTGTTGGTATCCACGTCTTCAATTAAACTTCGTGATTTTGCTGCAATACTGGAAACAATGGCATTTATCCTAAAAATAAAGGTTGAATTTTTAATTTTTTTAAGTTCTTCATTATCATTTTTTCTTTTGTACAGTAATAATCCTGGCAAAATCTATGGTCACCATACGCATGTGACACAGAGTTGATGATATCGTTGTGTAACATCGATATTACAACATCTCAAGGACTCTGCGACACTTTGTGATGTTTTATGGCTTTCACAATTGCTTTCCGCATTGTTAAAATTTTTACATTAGTCAATGTTTTTCATTGAGCCAATGCGTATTTTGTTTCTGTTATTAAATTACGCATTCTTTTACAAAAGTTTCGCAAGATATGGTTACTGGCACTCAATTTTTTCGACAATGACGTTTTTTTCTGCATATAGTCTGGCCTGTAGGATTTTCGCGTAAGTAGAGGCATCACCATCACCGAGGCCGTATGAAGATATAGAGGACTTAAATCCTTCGACTATAATCTCATTTTCCATAGACGTTGACGATCCTTCGTAATTTTTGAAGCATTTATGCTCCTTAGGTGAAATATTGTTATTTTCAGCTCGGGCACACCCAAGACAGTATTTATTTTTCACCCCAATGTAAAGAATTCGACCAGTTTTTCTGCCGATCACAGCTGCAGTACCAGATAATGCTTTGTAATTAGAACCATAGGATCGAGCGCACCAGGAGCCATCAAAGAGAACATCAATTACGGGAAAACCACCCTTGGTTCGGCCTTCTTCGATAGCTATTTCTTTTTCTTTTTCTGCAGCTGCTGCCATAGAAGAACTCGCAGTTTGTTCCCATTTTTTAAGAACCTGATCTTGATATTTGGTGTAAGTATTCGGAGTAAATACTGGAACGTCTATTGCTGAACATAGCTCTTCAAATTGAGAATTACCAATACCAGAAGCAATGATGCCAGTGATCGCGGCAATGTTTAGATTGATTTTTTCAGTATCATGTGTGTTTTCAGATTTAATTGTACAGATATGCTTGCATATATTGCATTCAAATTTGAAAAAGGATATAAGTCCTTCTCTTTTTTCACCCATTAGACGAAAATTACTCATGTTACAGCTGAACAATTCATTATGACAAGCTTTTTTTGTAACTCTTCTAAGAGGTAATTAATATCAATGATCCGCCGTCCTAGAACATGCTGAAATTCTTCATTGCTTTTTTCAGGCTCAATAACGTATGAATCGTCATTGTGTTCAGTTGGTCTGAAAAATAAATTCAGGGAAAAATAAATAAATTCAAATTGTAGAGAACCGGGTTATGAAACTGAACAACTTTCCTAAAGAAAACCGTATCGAAATCTGAAAAAAAATCGATCTCCCAAACAAAATATGTTACTTGACTGGACAATTTGTATGGCAGAACGAATTTTTTTAAATTTCAATATGGGCTTCTTTATTTTTAAATAGCTACTTACACATAATTAGTTATATTCTGTACTTTAAAATTCAGTGTAGTTGTGCTACTGCTGGGCAAATTACTCTGTTGTCTGAAAAATACATTGTCCAATTATTAAAACAGCACGTGTCAGCAAGTAATGAAAGAAACTATAAGGCCTATAAAACCTATTAAATTCAGTCAGTTTCCGCTAACACACTTACTTTTCATTGAGGTTTTCTTGTGATCTAAACGTGCCCTTGGTTCGTGGTGCTTTTGCACTGAAAACAAAAAAGGTCACAATTGCTACATTCAGTGGTCTTACTGTTGTATACTTATACTGTGACATATAAAGTAAAAATAAATCTATTGTTTTTATTGTTTTTACGTGAAGTTGCATTTCTTAATTTATTTGTTTTTATTAAAAAGTGAAAATAAATCAATAGGTATTCAGTCATACTCACATTAATATTTTTTTCAATCTTCGTATTTTTAATTTTGATAATTTTTTATATGCTGTTTTATTTCCCATATTTCTGCAATTATTATATTATTTCTGCAATTATGAACTGCACTTGTATGCTGAAATATAAAACTTCAATCTTAAGTTTACTCGCGATCAATATTTTCGAGATCGGAACGGTGGTGCGCGCGAAAATTAGACACAGAACCTGCTTCGGCAAGGCCCGGCGGGCGACTTGCGTGAGCAGAGCTTGCATTCTATTTATATTATATAAATTTATAAAAAGTAAATAGCAATTTTAAAAAACGAACCACAGAATTGTTTGTTAAAAACGTGCTTGGATATTGTAGTTAAATTTTTATAGTAATTTACGTGGTATTTCAGAAATGAAACGAAATAATAAAACTCAAAAGACCAAAGTTTAGATAAAATTTCTATCGAAAAAATTTTTAAATACCTACAATGTTTTCAACCGCAGATTTTTGAACGTCATATCCTTAAATTTGTTATGTATTTTTTTTGGGTCTTGGAAACGTTATTAGAGTCCATGAAATTGTTTTGAATATCAGTAATTTACTAATAACCGGGCCTTAAAACACACGGACGTTTGCAGCTTGACTCGCAGGACAACCATAATTTTGTAGCTAGTGGGATTGTCTCACCTCCTAAGGATCTTTTTCCATTAAATTTGGCAGATCATTTTGTAGATAATTCTTATAACTTTGTCCATATAAGTTTCCAGGCATTCAAATGGACCAATGATTATACCGTTTAATATACCAGTCCAAAAATTTATATTGACATAGTATTATGATGTTTTTGCATTATATGATTTGAGAGTTGCCAGTTGTGCAGATTATGCATGTTAAAATATCCGTCTTTTTTAAGAGTGAATTTATCATGCCCCAGTATTTTGTCGAAAAATTGTGGATCTTGTTCTGTTTTTGCAAGCATTTGTCGACAAAAAAACCAGTCTTGCGTTGTAATCTCTCGGTTGTTAGAGCTTGGACGCGTATAATGTGGTAGGGGTGAAATTTTTTTCAGTAAGCGGTGCACGGTCCTCTTCGAGATTCCAGTACGTCGTGCAGTATTACTCTAGTAGAGGTGGACGGGTCTTGCTCAATTTCGTTAAGCACAATGTCTTATGTATTAATATTAGCTATTTTTCCAGTTCTTATACCACCAATCCTGCTGCCAGGTATTCTACCTTCCGAATAACACCTGTAGACTCAGATGAATACGCGGTAATCTGGGTGACGCGCGGTATCTTTCCCTGTAAAGGCAGCATGCAGCATCACTTGCGTTGCTTCTGCATAAACCATAAATGAAGTGCATGTTTGCATATTGTTGTGCCGTATATTGAATATTTGGCATCTTGATATACAATATCATTCCAGATACAAGCCAATTCATCGTAAAATTACCAAAAAAAGTCCAAATCACAAAGCAAATCTAAGAGTCCAATGAAATAGCCAGGAGTCATTGTTAAAACACTGATTTTAAAATCACAGAGAACTCCAAAAGGATTGCACACATGTGATACTCAACAAGTCGAGAGACGCACTAAATACGAGAAAAGGTACAATGTTTTAATATTATACTCTTCTCTCGCTCACTCACACTCTACCTATCCCTGTCTCGTAAATCGTAATAAACAAAAGATGGGTAGCGTGGGCCACACACTCAGGTAGTAAATACCGATATTATACGGATCTTTACTACAGTAAAAAGGACCTTTTCACTTCAAGAACGTTCTTATTTTCACCGTTAAAGAAAAGTTAAGATTTTTTAATTTTTTATCTTTGGATAAAATTATGTATTATACCATTTTGTAAACTGTATTAATTCCGCATATTTTTTGAAATAGTTAGCCATTTAAGTCTTCATACTTTTTTTTCACGAATGGCTCTCAAACTTTTGTCAACACCAATTTTTTTTAATTTCATCCTAAAAATTGAAGATTTTTTTCAAAAAGTCCAACATATCCTCATACTCTTTACTGCATTTGTAATATGTAGTCTGTGAAGAATAAGAGAACATCAAAAACGCAACGAATTTCATTAATTTGCGGCAGTGGTGTTACATGAAAGAAAAGTAAGGTCAATAAAAACATATTTTTTTAAACTTTCATATTTTTGGCACCACTCGGAATATTTTTTTTTTTGTATATTTATTTGAGCGCCGATAAATTCACTTTTAAAAAAGACGGATATTTTAACATTCATAATCTGCATAGCTGGCAACTCTCAAATCTGCATATAATGCAAAAAAAATCATAATACTATGTCAATAAAAATTTTTGGACTGGTATATTAAACGGCATAATCATTGGTCCATTTGAACTGCCTAGAAACTTATATGGACAAAGTTATAAGAATTATCTACAAAATGATCTGCCAAATTTAATGGAAGAGGTTCTTTAGGAGGTGAGACAATCCCACTGGCTACAAAATTTATTGTTGTCCTGCACGTTAAGCTGCAAACGTCCGTGTGTTTTAAATGCCACGTATTAAAATAAATTAAATGGTCGTTTAGGTCCCACTACGTTTACGTCCCACGTTTAGGTACAACTTAACGCTTTTATTATGACAATTTAAGACAAAATTGCTTTCTAATTCTTCAGTCGACTTTATTCTTTTTGCACATTAACGTTAAATAAAATTATGTATTATATACCATTTCGTAAACTGTATCAACTGCGCATATTTTTAAAGTAGTTAAACACTTAGGTTTTCATACCTTTTTTCACAAATAGCTCTTAAGCTTTTGTCAAAATTATTAAAAAATAAAAACTTGAATTTTGTTAAAAATTTAAGTTTTTTTTGCAAAAAAGTACAATAGGTTTTATCTTTTGTACTTTTTTGTTTTATCAATTATATTTTTACTGCATTTCTAATAGAATAGTCTGTGAGGAATAAGAGAACACCAAAAACGCAACGAATTTCATTAATTTGCGGCAGTGGTATACATGAATGTACAGTAAAGTCAATAAAAACATATTTTTTAAACCTTCATATTTTTGCCACAACTTGGAATGTATTTGTTTTTGTATTTTTATTTGAGCGCCTGATATCTGTACACACCACACACACACACACACACACACACACACACACACACACACACACACACACACACACATATATATATATATATATATATATATATTATATATATATATATATATCGGGTGTCCGGTAATGAATGGATAACCTTGAAATGTCTTAGTAAAAATGAATAGCTTTTGCAGTTTTTATTTTAAAACATCGCAAATTAATTTATTTCTGAAAAACATGCAAAAAATATTATTTAAGCGAAGTTCAAACCTCTTGGGTATGAAAAAAGTGTATGAATGTATGGGTGACCAATCATTTTACAATAATGTCGGTTTCATGTAGATTTTATAATGGTATAATTCATAAATGTATCTTCCATAAATAGTGACTTATTGCCATTAATGTAGAAAAGGAGAAAATTTGACTAAGTAACCAAATTTGTAATATGGGAACATTTTTTAAATTGAATTGTGTCTGATCATTGGGGATTAATAAAAAACAACATTTAAAATTAAAATATTTAATTTTTCGTTAATTTACAAAAAATGTTCAAATTGTTTGCCTCCCACTCTTATGCATGCCCTACATCTTCGGATAAATGATCTTCTGAGCAGTCTTGTGTACCGTCGCTCGCATATTTTTGATGCGGCTGCTCTGACACGACTGCGTAGTTCGTCCAAAGACCGCACAGGCTTACAGTATACTTCCTCTTTCACACCCAGTAAAAAAAAATCCAATGGATTTAGATCCGGTGAACGTGGAGGCCACAAAATTGGCCCTAGACGTCCGATCCATCTATTTGGGTATCTGCTATTTAAATATGCACGAACCGGAACAGCATAATGCGCAGGACAACCGTCATTTTGCAGCCAATACGATTCCCTCAGGTCCTCGGGAACCTCTTGTAATAAATTGGGGAGATCATTTTGAAGAAACTCCAAATAACTTTGCCCCGTTAAATTCTCCGGTAATTCAAATGGGCCAATTATCATACCATTTAATATTCCGGTCCAATAATTTATTTTAAATTGGTATTGCGACCTGTCTTCAGGCATAAGATGGGGATTTTCTAGTTCCTAACTATGTAAATTGTGTAAATTTAAGTAACCGTCTCTTTTAAGCGTTGACTCATCGCTCC